ATCCAGACTCAAACCGATTGTCCGAAAAAGAAAATAATCTCAGTGTTGCGCACGGCTGCGGGTGTAAACAAACACACGCCAGTGAAGTGACGTCACTCTGGTGGTGTGTTCAGGGACAGTACGGACACAGACAAATTACACCGTAGATAAATACTGATGCGGAGCCACATATTAGGACATTTATCTGTCTGTAAATTGGATTAAATGAACATAATGTAGAGAGTCTAAGCTTTATAACGAGGTATAACATGCCCACGTGAAATATCGGCCCATATCAGCGAGCATATCGGCCGATAGCCGATATGTCTCCAGGTGCCCATATTGGCCGATAATATCGGCCAGCCGATATATCGGTCAGGCTCTACTTTAAACGCTCCAAAACTGTCCCGCAAATGTGCTCAGTGTTTACAGAAGTCACCTAAACATGGACGTGAGAATTGAGCACCTGGAGATTTTAAAGTTCTCGTACCGGAGCCAGAACATGAACAACTTATTTGTTTTAAGGATGAGATTGAGAAGGAGAAGGACGAGGTTTTTGTCCGTGGTGTTTTGTGGGGCAGCGGCAGCGACGTCCGTAGAAAGGAACGTGTGGGAGCAGAGTTGTAGCCGAGAGTGGTGGGATTGTGATGCGCTTCACTGCTTCACTGCCACGGAATTCAGGAACAATTTTCGTTTTGACGGGAAGAACGTTTGTGTATATTTGTGAGAGTCTACTTGCATCACTCTCACCTGAGGAAACACGTCTTCAGCGTCATATTCCAGTGAGCAAAGACTTCGGCGCAACAGGAGCTTGTTACTGTGTTGTTGTGACGCGTAGGTGGGATGAATGTGACCTGGCCGTTCAGACTGAAGTTGCATGTCAAAAGATCAGTTTTAGGACCACATATCCATTTTGAAAAGAAAAAAACAACAACCGTGTGGCGTTCAGACTGTCATTAAAAGATCAGATACAGGAGCATAGGAGCAAAAAAATCTGATCTGGGTCACTTAATAATAATCCAGGTTTACTCAAACAAGTGTGAATGACACAAAACACAACTCCAGGTCTGTTTTTGAGGAAGCTGACAAAGATTTTTCATTTTTTGTGTAATATACTCCTTTAAGAAAATAATAATTACGCTGTTATAAAATGAGCACAAATTTTCCACGATGTTTACGTCACTGAAATAGAAAATAAAATCCCACCGCCCACAGTCGCCTGCAGACGTAAACATTTATCCAGCACTTCACCATAAAAGACTCAGTCGAAGATCAGGTTACACAAGTGAAACCCCGAGACTAGAGTGTGTGTGTGTGTGTGTGTGTGTGTGTGTGTGTGTGTGTGTGTGTGTGTGTGTGTGTGTGTGTGTGTGTGTGTGTGTGTGTGTGTGTGTGTGTGTGTGTGGACTTTGTTCAGGTGAAGTGTGTCACATGAATCCGTCGAGTCCGGAGCTGCAGGTAAGAATCACCTTTAACTAGAACCTTCTTTAAACCAGTAGAACGTCATGACCTGGTGTAAGTGGCCTGACCTGGTGCAGTGTCGGGGAGTAACAGATTACATGTACCGGAGTTACGTAATCAGAGTACAAATTATAAGTAACTGTATTCGGTTACAGTTACTGTTTCAGTGAGTGGTAATTGGATTACAGTTACTTTGTTGAAATAAATGGATTACACAGAGGGATTTTCCTGTTTTCACATTTTGGGCGATATTTTTCTTCTTGGTAATTGCACTCATTGCCAGACTCTAAACCAGGTCTAAACCAGGTCTAAACCAGGATTAAACCAGGTCTAAACCAGGACTAAACCAGGACTAAACCAGGACTAAACCAGGACTAAACCAGGTCTAAACCAGGTCTAAACCAGGTCTAAACCAGGACTAAACCAGGACTAAACCAGGTCTAAACCAGGTCTAAACCAGGACTAAACCAGGTCTAAACCAGGACTAAACCAGTCTAAACCAGGTCTAAACCAGGTCTAAACCAGGACTAAACCAGGTCTAAACCAGTCTAAACCAGGTCTAAACCAGGTCTAAACCAGGACTAAACCAGGTCTAAACCAGGACTAAACCAGGTCTAAACCAGGTCTAAACCAGGTCTAAACCAGACTAAACCAGACTAAACCAGGTCTAAACCAGGACTAAACCAACTAAACCAGGACTAAACCAGGTCTAAACCAGGTCTAAACCAGGACTAAACCAGGACTAAACCAGGTCTAAACCCAGGTCTAAACCAGGACTAAACCAGGTCTAAACCAGGACTAAACCAGGTCTAAACCAGGTCTAAACCAGGTCTAAACCAGGACTAAACCAGGACTAAACCAGGTCTAAACCAGGTCTAAACCAGGACTAAACCAGGTCTAAACCAGGACTAAACCAGGTCTAAACCAGGTCTAAACCAGGTCTAAACCAGGACTAAACCAGGACTAAACCAGGTCTAAACCAGGTCTAAACCAGGACTAAAACCAGGTCTAAACCAGGACTAAACCAGGTCTAAACCAGGATTAAAGCAGGATTTAACAGGACTAAATCCTGCTGCGTGGACCATATTTCCTCCTCTTCTGTCAATAATATTTTTAATTTGTTTCAGTAAAGTCTGGGCTTTTTATTTTCTTTTAGCAGACAAAACTTCTTCTGTTACGATTTCCTCGTCTTTGCTTCTCTACAGCAGATTACATTACTCACTTCAAGTAATTTAATGGATTACGTTACAAACTACATTTTGGGGTATGTAATCTGTAATCTGTAGGGGATTACATTTTAAAAGTCACCTTCCCAACACTGCCTGGTGTAAGTGTGACGGTGCTGACGTGTCTCAGAACATTTGGGCCGTTGCTCCGACCCCCACGAAGATATTTTGGTGCAGATTTTTGCTCCTCAAATCCACAGACAGTCTAATGTGTGTCTGTTCTACCTGGACACGACTCGTCTGACCTGACTCTTTTGCTGAGCAGGGCTGGGTCTGGTTAGGACATGGATGGGACCTGTGCCCTCGACCTGCGCCCTCGACCTGTGCCCTCCACCTGTGCATGCTGTTTTTGTGTCCTTAGTTAAGATACGAACTAAAACAGACGACATGGCGGAGAAAAAAACAGCGCCTTAAAGTTTCTTTGAGCACAGACTATAAAAGCTTTGGGAGTGTTCTGAGGGCAGAGTCCAGTCGTGTCATGTCTCACCTCATTTATGTTTACATGAGAGCTTTAATTCAGAAGAAAAATCATTTAATTCTGAATAAAAATGAATTCTGCTTTAAAAAAGGAATCAGACTTAATTTTGTAGTCAGTGTTTGGTTTATTCTGATTTTAAAGCCAAATTAATTTATTCCTGGATCATGTTTCATGTTTATTCTTCTTGAAAATAATTCCGGTTGTTCAGCTCATGCTTGTTGGGTCGCTCTTCTGACATGATGACGCTCTGCAAAATGGTGAAAAAAGTTTGTATCATGTTTGTCATGTTTTGGGGGTCTGAGTTTGGGAAACAGCGGTAAAGACAAGGGACACTCGCCGTAGTGCGCAGGGGGGACGGGGCTGGGGGTCTCGTCCTCCTCTCGGTTCCTCCTCGTCAGAGTTATATCTGTGCAGTGGTCTGAGTGTCCGCGCTGGATCCGTCCACAGGTCGGAACAGGCTTGCTGTCCTCCAATCTTTCCGGGAAAAACTCTTCTCAGGCCGAGGCTCGTAACACCACTCCCCGCTCCAGCTCATCTGAGCCCGACCTGAACTGGAGCTGCTCTGGGTTTGGATCGCAGTACACATCCTCACACGTAACGACAAACCAAGATGATAAAAAAGCCGGCAGCAGCTGAAGTGTGTGTTTTCTTCCAATAAACATAAATAAGTTTGTGTCTCTGTCCCATCAGACTCCCAACCCCCCCAGACTTTGAGCGATTTAAAGGGGATTTAACGTGTTTTCCACGTAAACCTCAATTCAGACTTTTTATTTATTTATTTATGTTTATTAAGGACATCACAATCGCATTAGACAAGCCAGATGCGTTGCTTTGAATGTTTTAGCACAAGTGCAAGTTTTCAACACCTGTCCATAAAAAAATATAAACTACATGCATAAAAACAGAAAGTACAAGACACATAAATTACATACAGATAAAATATATGCAGTAGATTTTCAGTGGATGCAGTTTTGACTGGAAACATACAATAACTTTAATTTCCTTTTAAATTTGTTGTAGTTGGTTTCCAATTTTAAATGAGCTGTTAAACCGTTCCACAGACTGGCCCCTTTAAAAGAGAACGAGGACTGACCAAGAGTTTGTCCTGTACCTAGGAACAACACAATTACCACTAGTAGCGCCTCTTGTGTTCGCTCTGTGTGAACATTTTATGGTCCTGGCAAATTCTGAGTGTAATGGTGTATTGCGGTTAAGACACTTAAAAAATAATTTAAGATTGTTAAAATTGATAAAATTTTCAAAGTTAAAAAGTTGATGTTTCTTTGTAATTTCACAGTGGTGCCAGTTTTTGGGCTTTTTGTCAAGGATCTTAAGGGTCAGTTTGTATAATGAACAAAGCGGTTTTAATGTAGTTGAGGAGGCCTGGGACCATGAGGTGATACAATAAGACAGATGAGAGAAGATCATTGCGTTATTTCCACGTAAACTCGAAGGAGAATATTTAATTTAATTCTATTTAATTCAGAACAATTCATTTTACCTGCTGTAAACGTGAGCAGTGTGGGGCAGCAGAGGCGTGGAGCTCCAGCACAGCACAGGACTTTGAAGGACTCACAGCTACAAGTGCGGCCCAGACTCACAGGTCCAGAGCTGAAAGTCAGACCCACAGAAGGAGAGCGGAGAGGGAGCACACACCAAACACTCACTACATGTTTCGTTCTTCCTGTTTTACACTTTGAGTTGAAATGTTTTAGTTCAAACCTCGGACACGCACTCCCCTCGCTCAGTCCGCCCCAAAGCAAAGCCCACAGGAGTTTGTTCGCTTTGACTTTTTGGAAACAGACGAGCGCAAAATGTGAAATGTAAAACTTAACAAAGACTTTTTATGTTTGCAGAAAAATGGAGAACTCTGGAGGAGGACCAGAGTCTGGACGTAAACCCAGAGCTGAACCAGGACTAAACCAGGACTATATCAGGACTAAAGTAGATCCTGGCCCCAGCGGAGTCTCTCTGAGCAGTAACCGCTCCAAAGATGTCATCATCAACTTTAAAGAAGACCGAAGTGGAGCGTCTGCACAGCTCAGGTCAGTGTCTCAGTCACTATAAAAGGATTTCATAAAGTTGGTCAGATGGTCGACGTCTTCAGCCTCTCAGGGTAAAGGGGCTGTGAGGAAGGATGTGCTTCTATCCCGAGCTTATATTATTTTACTGGATCCTAAGGTGGAGCCCACATCAGGTGATTGGAGAATATTTATGTGATGCTGTCTGATTGTGTTGGTGAATGAATGTGTGTGTGGTTCTGAAACAACAAGAACAATAATGAGTAAATGTAAACGTACAGTCACACAAAAAAGGTTTACAAGAATGACTCCCTCTGGTAGAAACGAAGGTAATTACAAAGGCCTGACCTGCGACTGCGTGACAAGGCATGCTTCAGGGCCTGCAACCAATTAAAATAAGTAACTTCCATGAGTACACGCTACTGGAATATAGAAATTCACTGAACATGGTAAAGACATAACATTATAAATATAAAGCACCTTAAGCCGAAATAAAAACAGACAAAATATAATGAAATGACTCACTCAATTACACGCATTAACCAACAAACACTTACACAAGACGCACACGATGCACACAATCAGGTGACCGCAGGTACACAAAGGCAGGTAATAACAGTCTGCACTACTAAAACACTGCAGCTCACAGCGAACTCTCCGACAGACGGACAACGAGCTGCAGGATGAAGAGTCCAAGACCAGAGTCCAGGTGAAGTGAGGTGCGTGGCAAGTGAGGAGAGAGTTAGTGTCAACGTCTGTGGCACGTAGCAGCCACAAGGGGGCCTTTTCTACAGGGCCTGTGCCGTCAAAGGCCTTTAACAAGTCAACTCAAACTGAAATGATCAAGAATCAACTCGATCCACGACAGAAAGAAACCTACGTCTGATCATAGACTGTATACAGAATGTGTGTTGTGTGTGTGTTGTGTGTTTATGCTTCACACGCAAATCTTTCTTCAGTTTTTCAAACACATCTGTGAATGTTCCTCAGAGATGACAGCGCCCCCTACGGACCCACCACAGAGTCTCTGAAAAGTGAACGCTCCAAAGACTGGATCATAGACTTCAAAGACAGAGACAATCAGAGGTACGAACTAAACCAGGACTAAACCAGGACTGATCCAGGACTAAACCAGGACTAAACAGCTCACTGTTTTTATTGGTCGACAGAGATGACAGTGCAAGTCCTATTGAACAGGAGCCTCAGGCAGAGCTGGACACCGTCTTCCAGGTCTGTGAACACAAACACACACAACACACACACGTTCATGTAAATGAATTTGTCGCTTCTGACGATGTAGTTCAGATCAGTGTTACAGTTTACAGACTAAATGTAAAGTTTACAGGTGAAATGTAAAGTTTACAATCTAAATGTAAAGTTTAAGTTTAAATGTAACATTTACAGACTAAATGAAAAGTTTACTGTCTAAATGTAAAGTTTAAATGTAAAGTTTACAGCCTAAATGTAAAATTTGTAGTGTAAATGTAAAGTTTGCAGTGTAAATTGAAAGTTTACAGTCTAAAATGTAAAGTTTAAGTTTAAATGTAAATTCATAGAGTCTCTCTAGAGTCTAGAGCCATTTTCACAGCCCACTACAGGACGAGGTGTGGAGGTGTGAACTGTACTGTAGTGGAAAAAATAACGTCGAGATGAGAATAATGGTTTGTTGAAGCTCTGGCTCCAGATGAGCCGCTGTAAGTGCTGGCCTCCATGAGCTCCATTTGGAACTGAGCGCTGTGGGTGACGTCATACTCAGAACATTTCTTCAGACAGTGTGTGGTTCCAGGTTCTGGAGGAGCAGGTCCTGAGGTTTGTCCAACAGCAGCTGCAGAGGCTCCACAGTCTCCTGGCCTCAGATTACACAGAATGCTCCGAGAGTGAGGAGGAGGAGAGCAGAGAGGTTCTGAACATCACCCTGGACTTCCTGAAGAGGATGGACCAGGAGGATCTGGCCCAGCGCCTGCTCAGCAGTAAGAACCTCTAGATGCCCTCCCTGTGTGTCAGATGCCCTCCCTGTGTGTCAGATGCCCTTCTGTATGAAATATTGGACATGTTTCACATTCTAACACTTGTGTGTTGTTTAAAGGGAGTAAAGTTGGATTCAGAGATAAACTGAAGTGTGATCTGCAGCAGAGGTTCAGCCGTGTATTTGAGGGCGTGGCTAAAGCAGGAGACTCCGCCCCCCTGACCCAGATCTACACAGAGCTCTACATCACAGAGGGCGAAGCCTCAGAGGTCAACCAGGAACATGAGGTCAGACACGTGGAGACAGCGTCCAGGAGACCGGCTGCTCCGGAGACCATCACATGTGAAGAGCTCTTTAAACCCCGCCCACATTCACCACAGCCAATCAGGTTAGTGCTGACAAAGGGCGTGGCCGGCGTGGGGAAAACAGTGCTGACTCAGAAGTTCGGTCTGGACTGGGCTGAAGGCCGGACCCATCAGGACCTCCAGCTGCTGTTCCCCTTCACTTTCAGAGATCTGAATGTGCTCAGAGACACACAGTTCAGCCTGGTGGAGCTGCTGCACCACTTCTTCAGTCCATCCAAAGATCTCTGCAGCTTACTACAGCTCCAGGTGCTCTTCATCTTTGACGGTCTGGACGAGTGCAGACTTCCTCTGGACTTCAGCCGAACCCGAGTCCTGAGCGACCCCACAGAGTCCACCTCAGTGCACGTGCTGCTGGTGAACCTCATCAGGGGGAGCCTGATTCCCTCCGCTCTCCTCTGGATAACCACGCGCCCCGCCGCGGCCAATCAGATCCCTGCTGAGTGCGTCTCCATGGTGACAGAGGTGCGAGGGTTCGCCGACCCGCAGAAGGAGCAGTACTTCAAGAAGAGGTTCAGAGACCACGCCACAGCCGTCATCTCCCACATCAAGAGCGTCCGCAGTCTCCACATCATGAGCCACATCCCAATCTTCTGCTGGATCCTCTCCACAGTTCTACAGAAGCTTCTAGAACAAATAGAACCAGAGCTGCCCCGGACTCTCACACAGATGTACGTCCACTTCCTGGTGGTGCAGGTTAAAGTTCAGAACATCAAGTATCACCAGGGATCAGGGGAGGACCTTCACTGGACTCCAGAGACCAGGGAGATGGTGAAGTCTCTGGGAAAACTGGCCTTTGAGCAGCTGCAGAAAGGAAACCTGATCTTCTACGAGAGTGACCTGAGCGAGTGTGGGCTGGACGCTGCAGTGGCCTCAGTGTACTCCGGAGTGTTCACACAGGTTTTTAGAGAGGAGCCAGGCCTGTACCAGGACAAGGTCTACTGCTTCATCCATCTGAGTGTGCAGGAGTTTCTGGCAGCTCTTCACGTCCATCAGACCTTCTACAGCTCTGGAGAGAACCTGCTGGAGACACCACACTTCTCTGAGAGTCCAGAATGTACCGGTCATGAGTCTGAGCAGCATTCAGATTCAAAGGAGGATTTCCTTGTCCCGTCTGTAAGTCCTGAAGCAGAAGAAATAAGACCCAAAGAGGCTTCAGCAATTGGACTGAGAAAGAGACAGTCACAGTCTGACAGACAACCTTCTGAGAGGACTCCAACAACAAAAACAAAAACACTGAAACTACCCTTGAAATCCACACTCAAAACAAAGCTCCTCCAGATTTTGAAACCAAGAAGTCATAAACCAAGACAAACTAGACCAGAAACACCAGAGAGTCCTGAGTCTGACCCAGAAGAGTCTGAGGACTATTCAGAAACAGAGATATCCTCTGTCCCCTCCATGACACCAGAGGCAGCCTTCTACCACTCTGCTGTGGACCAGGCCTTACAGAGTCGAAATGGACACCTGGACCTATTCCTGCGCTTCCTCCTGGGGCTGTCTCTGCCGACCAATCAGAGGCTGCTGCAGGGTCTGCTGATTCACACAGGAAGTGACCCGACCAATCAGGAGACAGTAAAGTACATCAAACAGAAGCTGGATGAAGAGGGTCTGTCTGCAGAGAGAAGTCTGAACCTGCTCCACTGTCTGAACGAGCTCAACGACCAAAGTCTGGTGAAAGAGATACAGAAGAACATGAGAAGATACCTCTCTGATAGAACCTTGTCTCCTGCTCAGTGGTCTGCTCTGTCCTTCGTCTTACTGTCATCAGACTCAGACCTGGAGGAGTTTGACCTGCAGAAATACCAGGCCTCGGAGAATGCTCTCCTGGGTCTGCTGCCGGTGGTCAGAACCTCCACCAAAGCCCTGTGAGTCCAGACTGTATTTAAACTCTTGTGTGGAGGTTCTAGTCTCTAACGTCCCTCTCTGTCCTCAGTCTTTGGGGCTGTGGTCTGTCTCCTCACAGCTGTGCTCCTCTGGCCTCAGTCCTCAGCTCCTCCAGTCTCACACATCTGGATCTCACTAACAACGACCTCCAGGACTCAGGCGTGGAGCTGCTGTGTTCTGGACTGAAGAGCGCCTCCTGCAGACTGGAGACTCTCAGGTGAGATGCTCCCATGATGCACTCTGCCCCCTTGTGTCCACATGCGTGTAATTCTGTGTCTTTAGGCTGTCTGGATGTCTGGTCTCAGAGAGGGGCGGGGCTGCTCTGGCCTCAGCTCTGAGCTCCGCCCCCTCCCACCTCAGGGAGTTGGACCTTAGCTACAACCATCCAGGACCTTCCGCCGAGCTCCTGACTGCTCTACAGGAGCAGCGCCCCCTGCTGTCTGTCAGGTGAAAGAACACTGTTCTCTGGTCTCTTGTCTGGTCCTGGTCTGGTCCTGGTCTGGTCTCTGGTCTGGTCCTGGTCTGGTCCTTATCTGGTCTAAACTGGACTAAACTTGACTTGTTTGTTTCAGGTTGGATCCTGCTGGAGAGCGCTGGATGGTTCCAGGTCTGAGGAAATGTGAGTCTGTTTTGTTTCCTTCATACAGTAACGTGCAGAGAACAGCTCAGGTCATTCACTCAGGTCATTCACTCAGGTCATTCACTCTGGTTCAAATGTCAACATCTTGAATCAGGTGTGTGACAGATGTGATAGGTGCAGTAAACATAAACTCAGGCTACATTTACACTGAAACGTATCACCGTATTGGAAATGATCTGCGTCCAGACAAGTCGTTTCTGCGTCCGCAAGTCTTCCCTATCCACACAACTTTGAGCATATGTGTTTGTTTTACAGAAACAAAACTTTAAACCACATGACTCGTTTGCATAAACTAAGCACTTAAAAAAACAGCTTTCCTTGTGCGCTGATGCGGTTCAGCTTCTGTCAGACTAAAGGACACGACTCAGTGGAATATGAGTGTTCTTCCTGTGACAGAGGATGTGCTGCTGATGCTGTGTCCGTTCTGTGCTTCTATGGAGATGGTTCATGTTAAACTCAGAGATTATACGTGTGCAGGTCGTACACACATACACATAGAACGATACTTTGCCCTTTAACGTGAAACGGCCTGAAACACTATTAAGCTTGCACAGCTGATTTAGAGCCAAGGAAGAGGCAGGCATAAAAACTGTCTTTTCGTGGGCCGTGTACTAGCAAGTAGTTCTAGCTTCGCTGCTTCCATTTGTCTCTGGTTTGTTTAAACTGTTTTCCGCAATAGCGTCACATGACCAATGTCACGAACCCAGCGAATCAGGAAGGAGCAAGTCACAGTGACGTGGTCCAATAAGGACGCAACTAGTGTTTAGTCCTGACTCTGGGCACCAGCAGGAGGCCAGGACTAAACAAGAACTAAACCAGGACTAGAGCAGGAGGCTGGTCCCTGAGCTCCTCAGAGAGTGAGATGGTTGATTGGCACTAACATGTCACAGATGGACTTTGGTGAGACTTGTACAAGCAGAGCCACAGGGGGCAGTGCAGAGACCTGAGCACAGGACTTATATGCTCACACTTCCTGGTTCAAGTCAGAACCTGAGTTGCAGCACTGTGGATGTTCTGCAGTGTCTCACAGCTCGTTTGGAGAGACCAGTGAGCAGAACATTACAGTATCTAACCTACTGGAGACAAACGCATGGATAAGTCTCTCCAAGTCTAATTTAGACAGTAAACCTTTGATTTTTGTTGTTTTTTAGATGGTAAAAGGCTGCACGTGTTATTGATTTGATGTGGCTGTTAAAGTTCAAGTCTGAGTCCATTATTACCCCAAGATTTCTTGCCTGATTAGAAGGTTTTAGAGAGAGAGACTGGAGGTGACTGCTGACACTGTCGCTTTGTTTCTGTGGACCAAACAATATGACTTCAGTCTTGTCAGAGTTTAGCTGGAGAAAGTGATTTTGCCTCCACACACTGATCTGTTGGATGCAGTGGCAGAGTGAGTCCACTGGTCCATAGTCTCCTGCTGCCAGAGAGACATAGATCTGAGTGTCGTCTGCATAATTGTTGTAGAACACATTATTGCTGCTTATTAATTGGCCTAATGGCAGCATGTAGAGACTGAACAAAAGGGGGCCCAGGATTGACCCCTGAGGCACTCAACAGGTCAGGGCATGAAGTGAAGTGTTTGTGTTTCAGACTCCTGTGACTTCTCTCTGGACGCAAACTCAGCTCACAGTCTTCTGCTTCTGTCTGAGGACCATCGGACTGTGACACGAGTGAAGGAGAAGCTGGAGTATCCAGATCATGACGACAGGTTCACAGGCCACGCTCAGGTCCTGAGCTGCACTGACCTGAGGGGGCGCTGTTACTGGGAGGTGGACTGGAGTGGGGGGGTTGATATAGCAGTGAGTTACAGAGGGATCAGACGGAGAGGATGGAATGTGGAGTGTGGGTTTGGATTCAACGATCAATCCTGGACTCTGACGATCTTAAATTCTGGACAGTACAGTGTCTGTCACAACAGCGTCATAACACGACTCCACCGCTCCTGTCAGTCAGAGACAGGGTTCATGTCCTCTGATGAAGTGGACTTGTCATCTAGTCAAGGGGTCGTGTTCTCGGGCAGAGTGGGCGTGTTCCTGGACTCTGAGGCTGGAGCTCTGTCCTTCTATCACGTCTCCTCTGATGGAGAACTGTTCCACCTCTGGACCTTCTCCTCGTCCTTCTCTGAGCCTCTGTTTCCAGGGCTTGGACTGGGTAAACTTTCCTCTGCGACTCTGGTGGAGACGAGACAAAACAGAAAAGAAACTGAACTGGACAAAAACTTTTTTTATTCATGAATTCATTAAATTTTGACTTGTATGAAATAAATGTAATATTTTATTATTTTAACTAGTCATTTTAAATTGTATAAAAAATAAATTATATTTGCAATTAAAATTAATTGCTAAAATGAGCCATTGTTTAAAACTGTAGCTATTTAAGTTCATCTGTAAGGTAAATTAATAAATTATAATTATATCATTAATAATTGAATTGAATTACTACTACAACTGTTAGAGAATTCTATGATATAAATGTATTTCTTTGATTAAAGTCTCATTAAAGTGTTACTCATTTATATGTAATTCTTTCATTAAAGTATTAATCATTTAAAGGGTGAATCATTTAAATATTAATCATGGTGTAATCAACATTGCTTTGGGTCTGTTTTGGTTCAGGAAGTACAGGACATGATACCAGCAGCAGATATGAATGACATGTCAACTGACAGATTAAGCTCATCTACTATGGGCGCCAACAATTCTGGGTTTGTCCCATCTTATGTTAAAACTGAAGGCCTTGGGGAACCACGCAATTGTCTATCTTTGGGATGTGTAATCAAGAGTGAAATGGGAGGGTGGTTCAGTTGACGATTGTTAGTTATAAGATAACATGTGAAATGTATGTATTGTGATGTCATCAAGTATGCTTATCTGTGAAATGATTTTCAATAAAAGTGTGACTTGGAGAGTTGTTGAGCAGAGTCGGGTCAGGGAGCTGACAGACAGTGTGCACGACTCTCCTTGCGCAAGTATAAATTTTAACCGTCTCTTTCTGGTGTGTCTTTATTTAATGTATTTTTGATGTCTTTTGGGTAGAATTCCCTGACAACAACAACTACTACTACTACTACAAATACTACTACCACAACATATACCACTACTACTGCTACTACAAATACGACTACAATAAATACTACTACTACTGCTGAAGAAACTGAACAATTTCAATAAAAGTCTTCAAACTGAGTTGAGCTTGTGTCTTTTTTCCTGGTTTTTCAAGCGGACCTGTATTCCTTAACTAAAGACTTGACACAGAATGTCCTCCTGCTCCTGCTGACAGAGATGATTTTTTTAAATTATCTCAAGCAGGATTTGGATCGTGACATTACTGTCCAAGAGCTTTTAGAAGAAGCCATTAAAAGCTTTAATTCATTCAATTCGTTCACATGTGACGTTAACAGTCTGTTGTTCTCTGTTCTGTTGTTTTTACTAGAACTTTACTTTCAACAGGAAATGTCGCTTCCTGGTCTCTGATTTTATAAAATACATTTCCCCCAAAAACCGCGACTTATATATGTTTTATAATTCTTCATTTGGCTGGTGCGATTTATAATCTGAAAAACGTTCTTAATTCAAGTCCTGAACTAACCCAGGACTAAACCAGGACTAAACCAGGACTAAATCAGGTCTAACCCAGGACTAAACCAGGACTAAACCAGGTCTAACACAGGACTAAACCAGGTCTAACCCAGGACTAAACCAGGTCTAACTCAGGACTAAACCAGGACTAAACCAGATCTAACTCAGGACTAAACCAGGACTAACCCAGGACTAAACCAGGACTAAACCAGATCTAACCCAGGACTAAACCAGGTCTAACTCAGGACTAAACCAGGTCTATAACCCAGGACTAAACCAGTACTAAACCAGGACTAAATCAGGTCTAACCCAGGACTAAACCAGGACTAAACCAGATCTAACCAGGACTAAACCAGGTCTAACCCAGGACTAAACCAGGACTAAACCAGGACTAAACAGGTCTAACCCAGGACTAAACCAGGACTAAACCAGGTCTAACCCAGGACTAAACCAGGACTAAACCAGATCTAACTCAGGACTAAACCAGGTCTAACCCAGGACTAAACCAGGTCTATAACCCAGGACTAAACCAGATCTAACTCAGGACTAAACCAGGACAAAACCAGGTCTAACCCAGGTCTAACCCAGATCTATCTCAGAACTAAACCAGGACTAAACCAGGACTCAACTAGGACTAAACCAGGTCTAACCCAGGACTAAACCAGGTCTAACCCAGGACTAAACCAGGTCTATAACCCAGGACTGAACCAGGACTAAACCAGGTCTAACTCAGGACTAAACCAGGACAAAACCAGGTCTAACCCAGGACTAAACCAGGTCTATAACCCAGGACTAAACCAGGACTTAACCAGGTCTAACTCAGGACTAAACCAGGACTAAACCAGGACTCAACTAGGACTCAATGAGATCTAACTCAGGACTAAACCAGGTCTAACCCAGGACTAAACCAGGACTAAACCAGGTCTAACCCAGGACTAAACCAGGACTAAACCAGATCTAACTCAGGACTAAACCAGGTCTAACCCAGGACTAAACCAGGACTTAACCAGGTCTAACTCAGGACTAAACCAGGTCTAACCCAGGACTAAACCAGGACTAAACCAGATCTAACTCAGGACTAAACCAGGTCTATAACCCAGGACTAAACCAGGACTAAATCAGGTCTAACCCAGGACTAAACCAGGTCTATAACCCAGGACTAAACCAGGACTAAACCAGGTCTAACTCAGGACTAAACCAGGTCTATAACCAGGACTAAACCAGGACTAAACCAGGTCTAACCCAGGACTAAACCAGGACTAAACCAGGACTCAACTAGGACTCAACGAGATCTAACTCAGGACTAAACCAGGTCTAACCCAGGTCTGACTTAACTTAACTTTCAAGATGAAATGTTCCTGGTCTCTAATTTTATAAAATAAATTTCCCCAAAAAGTGCGACTTATATTTGTTTTTTTCTTCTTCATTACAAACTTTTTGGCTGGTGTGATTTATGGTCCAGAGCGATTTATAAACTGAAGAATACGGTAAATCATTTTTTTTATGGTCAGATTATTTTCAAACAAAACTCAGATTAGGTCTAACTGGAGTAACAGAGCTTCAGACAGAGCAGTGCTTTTCATTTAGCAACACAATCCCAGGGAATGTTGATGACATCTGCTCCAAAGTATTAATACTCCTCTGTAAACATCACTGGGCTCCAAAATGTTTCTGTTTGTGGACGTAGATATCTGAAGTGTCCCTCCAAAAAGAGAGATGCTCCCGATGTCACATGAAGAGTCTCGTTATCTGAACACGCTCCCGTCCAGAAACACGCCGTAAAAGGACAAACGCCAAAACAAAAGCATTTTAAGAGAGAAACGTGGGTCGGAAAATGACAAAATCCTGGCTCTGTCTGAAGATGATGTTTTCCAAGTGAAGTGTAGTCAAAACAAAGACGTCACTTCAGGCCCTGTCCCCGATTTTTCCCCCCGTGTGTCTGAGCGAACGTCTCAGTACAGATGTGTTGTATAAGCAGCTCGGAGGTGTAACGAACGAGAAGGTTCTGTCTGTGTTCTGTGTACTTCAGACATATTTAGACTGAAATGTTTTAACCTCTTGTACAGCAGAAATAAAAGAGAGCATACACACATCTGATACAGGAGAGTTTAGAGCACAGGTGTCAAACATGAGGCCCGGGGGCCAGATCCGGCCCTCCAAGACCTTTAATGTGGCCCTTGGGTGATTTTCTACTAAAATATTGTAATTATATTTTCTATTAAAATCTTGTTAATTTTCTGCGGTGTTTATCACAGCAGCGTCTCCAGCGTCTCTGTACGTGGCCCCTCCCACCAGAGCAGCACAAATGAAGACTTGTCTCTTTCCAAACGCTCTTAAAGGACGATCGTTTTGGCATTTGGTCTTCCGATAAATTATGTTATCAGGTTCTTTTTTCAGACCAAGAGTTTATTTTCATACCTGACAGTTTCGACTACTCACTCGCGGTCTTCCTCAGAGTCACGTGATGTTGCTGCGACGTGTCCGGTCAATAAAACACACATCGGGGAAACGGGGAGGGCGTTCAATACACGAAAAAAGGAACACAGAACAGAATGCGAGAAGGAAACAGCGAAGGCAGCAAAACACAAAGCAGAACAGGAACAACTCAAATCGGTTTCTGAGCACTGTAAAAGAGAGAACCACGTTATGGACTGGGACGGAGCAAACGTCACTGGAACAGAGGAAAACAAACATCGTCGCTGCATTAAAGAGGCAATCGAAATACGGAAACGTGCCCGCAGGACGATAAACCGAGACGAGGGGGCTTTTTTACTCTCACACACCTGGGAGACTGTCCTGAGGAAGTCGGACTGCAGGTGGCGCTGTCGTCCTGCCTCCACTGGTAGGAAAACAGCGCCAAAACCTGTTTAAATCAGCCGACCAGACACGTCACAGAAACATCACGTGACTCTGAGGAAAACCGCGAGTGAGTAGTTGAAAGTGTCAGGTATGAAAACAAACTCTTGGTCTGAAAAAAGAACCTAATAACATAAATCTGACCAGAGTTTTGTGTCTTGGTCAGTGTAGAGGGAAACATTACGGTGCAGCATGTTCAACTTTTCCACTCTGGAGGGTGGTTTCAGATTTTTTGCGTGTTTTTAGCCATCACTTCCAATAAAATATTTTTGTCATTTTTACCTACAAGTGTTCTCATGTAAACAGGCCCAAAGAGTCGAATGTGGAACATTTTGACCAAAATTTTGCTAGTACAGTTTAAATAATTAAGCAGCGTGTATATATGATCATAAACTTGACTTCTAATGTTGTTTCCTCATCACAAACAGACCAGGAGTTGTGTTTTGTTTCATTCACACATGTTTAACCTGCAGATTTAGGCTGAAAACACTCCACCTTGTGATGTCATCATGTGGTGATACAGGAAGTGCTCCACTGGGCTTTTAAACTCCACACACCTTCACTAGAATCATTTTTATTTTATTGCCAGTCTCTACTGAACTAAAGGTAAAATGAGCTGTTCACGTGAAAACTACCACTTCATGACATCACAAGGTGGAACAGAGCATTTTGACCTTTAGAGATGGAGACAGACTGATAATAAAGAGTTACTCAAACATGTGAATGAAACAAAACACAACTCCAGGTCTGTTTTTGAGAACAACAATAAAACACGACTTAAAGCTCAGTTTTGCATCAGGACCTTTAACCACAATCATCTCCACATTTTCCTTTTCAGCCTCTTTACTTTTTTTCTTGAAGATGTTTCATTAACTCAATTAAAAACAGTAACAGTCTTATCAGTCAACCGGGACTACAAAAGTCCCAGTTGACTGATAAGAGGAAC